AACTTCACTGCTCTCCCTATTCTGTGCAGCAGGTTTTGCTTTTCAGAGGGGTACTAAACCTTGTTGAAACTTGATCTGCATCAATAAAATGCATGAAGTGGTTTGTGTCTTAATACTCTGGCTTTAATTACGTTTTTTTTTTTTTTTTTGTAGCTGTTGCCTTGCGGTTAATGTAATTATAACAACTTTTGAGTAAGGAAAAGGATATTRTTTAGCACTGGAACTTTGCTCAGGAAAAAAAAATGGTTTATTAGTTTTGCTAGGGGATTAGCAGAGAGAAGATTTTATTATGTAATGCTAATTGCATTTTAAAAAAATGAGTGCAGCCTAGTTTCCACTGTTACAGCGGTGGTGAGTGTGTGTGTACGTGTGTGTATATATATACATAATGTGTGTGTGTGTGTATATATATATATATATAAAAATAACCCTACCTATTGGAGATCTTTTAAACCCCAGTGAACTGCAGTACGGTTAAGGATCAGGCACACTGTGTGCAACAGTGTTTTGATGTTCAAGGTGTTGCTGTGCAGGACGGGGCTCGGTGGGCGCTCTGGGATGGCTCCGGTCCCTTGGGCCGGCCTTAGCCGGGCTCTGGGCTTCGCTCTGTGGCCTTTCCTCCGCCTCGTGCCATGAGGCAGAGCTGCAYGTTGCCCAGACCGAAGCCTGATCTCCCCGATACAGGAGAGCTCCTGCTGGTTCAGCTGCTCTGCCCTGGCTTAGCGTGTGTTGGAGCGGAGCGTTTGCGCCCCTGTGGTTTAAGATAGGTTGGGATGTCATTATTTGGTGGACAAAATCAATCCAGCCCAAAATGTTCATGTCTGAATTACCAAATCTTCAAAAATTGAAGACCCCCCAACTAGCTGGTCCAGCTCAAGGGTGCCCTAGGGATCTGGGGAAAAGGCAGCCTGCCCTTCTTCCTTGTTTCATGCTGCCAGAAAGCTGTATATTTCCCCCACCAAGCCAAACATGAGAAGCCTTCATGGGAAGAAAAGCCACGTGTTGAGTTAGGAGAGAGATGCAGGTTATGAAAGGCCTGCAGGAGAGGGGTGGCCACATGCTGCAGGGAGCCCTAAGAGCATCCTCCTTCCTCTCAGGTCTCCCATTCAATCCCTGAAATACAGCAAGGACACGGGAGGGAAACCCTGGGGAAGTTGTGTTGCGCTGTCTTATGGAGAGGATGCACGAAATGCCAAGAACCAGCTTGCCAGGTCCCGGCCTGTCAGATACCCCTATGATGCCAAGCACCCGAATTACTGGGGTACCGCAGCGATAGGGAGATGAGAATTCAGTCCTTAAAAAATGTGGATTCATATAATGTGTCACGCTGCCTATTTTCTTTCTTTCCAGAATGGAACCCAATAGGGTCTAACGGCCTTTGTGTTATATGATCAGCATCAGAAGGTGCAAGCAAGCCATCAGTTTTTAAGCAGAAATCTTCTGCGCTACCMATAGAGAATTGCTTAAAAATTGCTGGCACCGCCTGGCCCACAGTGAACAGAGCTTCCCAGAGCGAGAGTTGCGCTTTGCTGGGCTCAGCACTGGGGGCACAGAAACACGAGGCCACATCTGCTGAAATAATGGCAGGTACCCCTGGAAGGATAAGGTTTGAGAGAACTATACTTAAAAAAAATAAGTAAAAATAAAAAAGCTACCAAATCTTTAAAAAAAACCCAAACTCATAAACCATAGCCATTTTCTTTGCAGTGAAAGCAAATAAGTTTTGCATGCATAAATAGATATATAAATGAAGGGCCTAACTATTGTTCTCTGAGCAACAGAGATACTCCCCTGTGCTCAGGAATGAAGGTTGTTTATTTGTTCGTGTTCTGTTGTTAACGGTGTGAACGCACTCTGCATAAACATTTTGCTGCATTAAGTGCTACTACACTTAGTAATTGCAGATTAGAAACCAGAGCAGGGCCTCTYCTGTGCCTCAGAGGCTGGATTTGGACTCGTACCTGTAACTGTAATAAAAAGGCCTGTGCTGTGCATCGTTATTTTTAATCAAGTAAAATGTGTTGGAAAGTACAAATCTCCAGTAATTGGAAGAGATTTCAGCTGGGGGTTCTCTCTCAGAAGGTGAGGTGGCTGAAGTATATATAGTGTTAAATAAAAACATGTAAAGACGGTGGGGTTGGAAGGACCCTCTGTGCTTGCCGAGGGCTCGGTGACAAAGCGATGTTTTTGATCTGCCCCCAGAAGAAATGTGGGGAGGTTCCAGTGAGCCAAAGTGCAGGGGAAGCTGCAGGGATGAAGAGCTGTGATCAACTGTGGATTTAAGGTGGTGCTGCGAGGAGAAGGGCAGCAGACGCCTCGTGTTGTCCCGAGCAGGGAGGTCCCTCACCGCAGCATCAGCAGAGCGGAGCCCCCTTCGTTCCCAAAGRGCTTGTCGGAGGTGCCAGCACATCCGAACCCTGGGGCTTGTGGCACTGTGATCTTGCACAGCCCCTGCTTTGCAGAGCAGGAGACGGGGAGCTCAGACAGAGATTGTACAGCCTCTTTGGGTACCTGTGTCAGAGTTTACCTGCTCCCATGGCAAAGAAATTTAGTTTCGCTGTGTTTTAAGGCCCTTCCGTGGGGTAATGGGAGTCATTAATTCTCGCATGTCTGCAGGCTGGGAGGTTGCACTCTTGTCCGTAACTTTTTGCCCTCAGGAGTGACTCAAATTCCACGTCGCAGCCCTGAGGCAGTTTCCTCGCGTCCCCTTCCCGCGGCATGGGCAGCCCGAGCCTGCCCCTTTTCGCTCAGCCCGCCTGGGCAGGCAGGCGCCGCGCGGCTTCGGGCGCCCGGGGCCACCGGAGACACCTGCCCCGGGCCTGCAGCTTTCCGTGTCCGCTGCTTAGCCTCCAGGTGGTCKTTCCTCGTTCAGTTTAGAAATAAACTATTCAGCCATATCTGAATTATCAGTAGTCTGGAGGCTCTTACGTTTTTTCTCGCTCTCCTGAACTTCCTTCTGTGTCTTTTCCTTCCTGCGTGTTTGCAGCTGCAGTGATGCAACATCTCGTGCTTCAGCAGGTCTTAGGCTTGAGCATGGAGATCTGCTTCACCCGAGCTTTGCTTTTGTTAATTGATTTAATTTGGGGGCAATTAAGGAGGTTGGCTGCGTTTGTTTTTCCCAAACAGTCTAGGTACTTAAAGGGCAAATGGGSTAAAATGGATTTGTTTTTCTGGGCAAATCAAAAAAGAAGACGGCTTAAATATACAGACGTACCGAATGTTTTACTTTCAGTGAAAAGCGTTGACTTAAGGGATCTGTGTGTTGGCTACATTTCTAAGTCATGAAAATGAAATTGTACTGGAACTTGATGCTTTATAGTTTGAGATTTTGCAGGTGGGAAAAATACGATGTGTAAAAGCCTCTCTGTCCTTAGCTCACCTGGAAGAGTCATTGCAGAGGCTGGAAGACTTGTCACTTTTGTTAGGACTCAGGTTTTAAATTGTAGACATTTTCTTGTCTTTTAAAAACATGGTTTAAAAATTAGTTTCAGCAATTCTTTTAGATCTTACATATATGCCACAGTTAATTTTGAAAAAGGCTCATGGATTTAGGGAAGCAAGTGGCAAAGCTGGTATGCAGAAATCGAATCTCTAGGTTTGCAATTATGGATCTACGTGTGACATGGGCTCCCATGCTGGATGGATCAGTGCATTAGCTAACTGTGTGCGTGGCTGGTTAAAACCTGGCCTAGAAAGGCTGCATTCATTCCAGATCCACTCACTAASCCATTTTGAAGCAACAGATCAGTGGCAGTTGGCTCTGTGCATTCCTGAAGCCAGGTGTCTAGTGGGAAGGGATCCCTTGCCTTCGGCGYGCTCCGTAATCCTGCCCTTGCTGTTTGCAATGGGCTGATTTTCCCGCTCCAACCTTTCTTCTCCAAGTGGGCTACAGATGGGGAGGACGTGGAGTCCCACGCTCGTTTGTGTCCTGCACGAGTCCTGCTCCGATGCTCCCTGGGGAAGAGAGCTGGGGTCTGGGGAGGAGAAGGGCTTGGAGAACAGGACCTGCTGCAAGGACTCGCTGGGTGACTGGATCATTGGATGTGGATTGGATTGGATGTGGATGGTGACTGGGGCTCCTCAGCCTGAGCTGAAAAGCAGAAATAGTCATAGGCAGCAACTCTGATCTCAGTGATGCCCCTCAGCCTGCGGAGCCCGTGTGCTCCATACGGAGAGTGAGTGTCTGAGCTCGTCTGGGCGGTGGGGAGGGCTGGGCAGAAAGAGGCAGCAACAGACTTGGTTAATGTATGGGAATGTGCAGTGATGTCAGGAGGAACTCTGCTGAGCTCCAGACATGCTGAGTTGTGTCCCTGAGTTCCTGTTTTGGTGTGGAAAGCAGCTGGTGGTCCCGGGGAGCCCTGGCGAGGCCACGGAGCGGCGCGGTGCTGCGGGAAGGGCACTCRCTGTCCGTCCCTCCGGCTGGCTGGCTCCCTGTGCATCTCTCTCTACCTATGTCTGCCTATCTATATGTACATATAAAACAATTGCAGGTGCTACTGAGTCTGTAATTTCTTCAGAAGCTCACAAGAGTGCTTTAGGAAGGAGCATGAGCTTTTCAAAGGGACATTCCAAAAACCTCATGTGGATCTTGAAACTCTTTCAGCATGAACTCCGGAGTTTTTTCACTGCCTGAAGGGGTGTTTTTGTTGGGTTGGTCGTTGCCTGTTTTCAGCAATTTTCTCTGGGGAGAAGAAAGACCCATGCAGCGGGAGCCCCTTTCTGCTCCCACGCACCCTTCCCGTGCTTGTGGGGGTATTTTAAGCACGATGACCTCCCCGTGTCGCTATGTCTGCGCTGCCTTTCTAAATCCAGCCACTGGCTTCCGTGTCCAGAAATACAAAYTAGGGCTGAAGCAAAACAAGGCTGGGCACAAATCACTGCAGCGCCCGCAGGTGCTGGGGCCTGTGGAGCGCTGCGCTCAGCCTCCCCGCGCGTGTGTGTGTGTGTGCGAGTGCTTTCTAACCTGCTCTTTCTGTTTCTTCATGCTTTCCTGGATTCAGAGAGAGGTAAATGATTTTCTTTTTTTCCCCCCTGTTCTCTGTGTTTGTCTTTCTGCCGGTGCCCGTCTGCGTTTGCCTGTGTCGGGGAGCGTCGTCACACCAAAGCTGAACCTYGGTGACATAAATGCCTATCAGTCATGTTTGCAGCTTGCTATTAATATTGTTGTTAATAGTGTGCTCAGGTTGACTGGATTTTCTGTTTCCCAAGTCCTAAATCTCCTAAAAGAGTTTAATAAAATACAGTGGTTCTTTGTATTTGCTTCTGGTGGTGCAGAGTTTAAAATTTAGATGTTGGTGTTATCCGTAATTCTAAATGCAGGAAACTTGTGTGAAAATGCCTCTTTTATTTAAAAAATGAATAGCATCCTGCTAGCAGCAGGACATCTAAGACCTAAATATAGAGAGAATTTGAGACTGGGTGTACTGGTTTTGCTGCTTGTCCCGGGTGCTTGTCCTGGGTGCTTGTGCCAGGTACTTGCTCCCGACCTTCAGCGCTCGGGCCGGCACTGCTGTGTTTGTCTATGCTCCGGAGAGAGGGGCCGCCAGGGATTCTCCCGACGCTTCCCGGGACACGCAGTCACGTGCTGCAGCCCCGCGCCCTGCAGCTCTGTGTCCGGAGCCGCTTCCCGACGGAATTGCGGTGCCCAGAGGGGGACCCGCGTGCATTTGCGCTTCTAAATTGCGAGGACTCATTACGCAGCCAGATGGGAGGAGTGATATTTAGAGATGCAGCTCCTCGCCTTTGCTTGGGGGAATATAACGAGAGTAGTTTCCAGGCTCGGCTGGGTTTTAATCAGTTCTTCAGGCAGCACTGGCCTAGGGAGACGTTTGAACTTCCATGATTGAGGCTGTGCAACCTAATGTGCAACCTAATGTGGCAGCGAGCGGCGCGGCGCGGAAGGGAAGCGGACAGGGAACCTTTGCACTGCCAAGGCGGTGCCTGCGTTGGGAGAGCCTGCGGCTCCGCGCCGGCACCAGCGTCCAGCAGCGCGGCACGGGCGCCTTGCTGCAAGGCAGCCCGCTTGTGAACCTGTGAGAACTGCCGAGGGAAAMCGCTCCCAAAGCCTCTGCGCGGGAAGGGCATCCTGGTTATCTGGGTSAGAAAATAGCGGGCAGGGAACTGTGCTCGTGGATGTGTCTCCCGTGCTGGATATAGCTGGAAGGTGATCGGACGCATGTGGGAGCTCTGTACAGAGCTGTTGGAGTGAGGAAAAGCTGCAGGACTCTCGGGCACCTTTGGGATTTGCAGCAGGATCAACACAGCTCTCAGAAGCTCCCCRGCTCTTCCAGCTCTAACAGCTGAGGGCAGGGGGTAGGTGGGGTTGAACATCCGTGATCCAATGCCTAATGTGTAGGGGTGCACCGGAAGGGGAACACTGTGCACATGACTGTTTTTCCTCCTGCTGCTTTGGGATTTGCCCCCAGATGGGGTAGCGCAGCYCTCAGGGGCCTCGCTATCCAGGCACAAGAGTTTGCAGAGTTTCCTTGGAGCGAGTGGAGTGCATGCAGTGAGTTCATTTGGTGTCTCTCCCTGCTAGGGGAGATGCGTGTGGAAAGTCCCCCCCGTTTTCTTGCTGCTTTCACAYGTTGCTGGTCAACCCTTTGCTCCACAGCCACGTCACACCGGGGGGCTGGAGGCTGTGCAAGCCGTGCACGGGCCCTGCAGCACAAAAATCAGCACTCGTTTTCTGTAGGTTTTTCTGGATTAATTTGAATCAATCTTTGGCCAAGCCCAGAGGATGTCATTTTCTGCTCCGAGGGTTCTTGTTGTAATTTGTAATACATAAATCTATGAAGCAATTTACATTTTCCTGCCCGTGTTTCATTTTAATATAGTTGTTTTGTATTGGTGCAATTTAATTTTGATTGATAAGAGGAAAAATTTCAAGCTTCGAGGCTTTTGTTTGTCCTGTTGATGGCTTTTTTTTCCCCAATAAAAAAAAAAAAAAACAGATTAATGCATTTTTATGCCCCAAAAGTCACCGTTTACAGTGAGCAGTGAATGGCAGCCCTGTTGCTCTTTAGGTTGTGCTTAATTGGGATGTCTCCTGGGACTCTGCCTAATAGTGGCAAATGGCCATGACTGCTGCTCGAGCAGGACAGCATTAACATAAATTGCATTTAATGTGATTGCAGTCAGCCAGGGCTGAGCAGCTAAGTGATGCTTAGCCAGGTGTTAAATAGGTACCACTACTCAGGTTTAGTCAATTATTATAGACATTTGCCAATTAAAAGAGGGTAAAAGAGCAAATAAAAATGAAATTCCTGTCTACTTAGCACCTGATTTTGCCTTTGCACTTATTTAAATCATTTCTTAAACTGTCCCTCTATAGTCTTCTATCAAAATTAAGAAGTTTCTGCTGCTTTTCTAACTGTCCAGCAGAGCCAGTCCTACCTTCTTGTGCAGGAAACATGAATTGGTAACTGATTTTTTTCTTACATTCTGGCTTTTTTTTTTTCCCCAAAAAAATTCTAATCCACATCTGGTTCCTACAACCGGAAAAATACTGGGGGATGGAGTGAGTACATGTAAAAATAATGCAAAATATCTGCTACACTCTGCAGAAGCGCTTCCCCCGAGTCYGTATCAACAGAGGCAGGGGGCTTGGGCTGTTAGCTGGCTGAGAGGTTTTTACTGCAGTGAACTGTGTGGGTCTCCCACCCAGCGCCTTGCTGCTCTCCCCACTGGCATCAAGGGAGATTTGACCAGGAGCTTGGTTCAAATCCCACCAGTGCTTCTGCTCACAGGGAATTTCACAGGCTCTGGGACCGGCAGGACCTTGGCCTGATCCAGGTTGTGATCTCCTAAACCTGCCTTGGATTTCCTGCTTTCCCAGCAAGATGGACAGACAGGATTAGTAAGTAAAAGCATTTGCCCTTTTCTACGAGTTTCTGTTGCAGACACGTTGCTCAGCTCAGCTCCCTTACCTGGGCAGCTGCTTGCACATCAATCTTCCTTAAATGTTGATGAGCTTCGAGCAAGCTGCAGTAAATGCAGGTTTGGAGGTGCAGTGACCCCGAAGGGCTCCCAGGTGCAAGCAGTTTCAGAGAGAAATCCTGAGGCCTGTGTTGGGAGCATGAAGACTTCAGGCGAAGCAGCAGCATTGCTGTCCGGGCACGTGTAGCGGCCTGCAAAACCTTCCCGAGTTGTATTTTACTATTGGCAGTGCTGAAAGCGTGTCCCTTGGGATGCCCAAGGCTCCTCGTCCCGTCGCGCTCGCTGCCGGGGGGAATGAGTGAGACTGCTGATGCTGCCGTGCCCTGTCGGAACGGGAGCGGAGCCRTGGGTGCTGGTTTTGATGGATGGCTTGGAAACAGATGGTGCTGGCAGGGCGTGCACTGTGCTGGAAACTGGAAAAACTCAGATCCCCTCCTCTGTCTCACGGGATTTACAACCACGGGATCTTCGAAAGGCTTGTGCAGATCCTCAGCCTGCCTGCGTAGTCAGCGCCATTAACGCTGTTAACGCGAGCTCTTGAGGTGCCGGGCGTCGGACGCTGCGCCTGGGTCTGGGGCGGCCTCGGGAGGGCTTCGTGGGGCCCAACCAGCCCCGCTCCGTTTGCTCCCGCCGCGCGGCTGCCGTCTCGGGCGCCCGAGATATAACGGTCAATATGGATAAGTACCTGGGGGGAGAGTGTGGGGAGGATGGGGCCAAACTCCTCCCAGTGGTGAGCAGGACAGGACAAGGGGCAATGGGTACAAGCTGAAACACAGGCAGTTCCATCTCCAGGTGAGGAGGAACTTCTTCCCTGTGAGGGTGACAGAGCCCTGGCACAGGCTGCCCAGGGAGGCTGTGGAGTCTCCTTCTCCGGAGACCTTCCAAACCCGCCTGGATGCCGCCCTGTGCCTCGTGCTCTGGGTGTCCCTGCTGGAGCAGGGGGTTGGACTGGATGATCTCCAGTGGTCCCTTCCCACCTCAGCCATTCCGTGATTCCTATGGGCTGTACTGGCTTTTCGGCAAGCGCGGAGCGGGTCCCTCTCCCGTGAGGAGCTCTCGCAGGGCCAGGAGAGGTGCCGGCGCTCCTGCGGCAGGGCTGAAGCAGCCCCTAAATCTCCCTCCTATCCGGAGCATCACACAGGGTGTCTTACATCCATAGCCCTCAGCACGGGTCTGAATTGAGGGAGGTTACGTGGCCTGGGCTCTGCAGGGCAACTTCTCCTTCCCGTGTCTGGAATTAGGCTTGGCAGGAGCGCGGAAATGTGTGGCTCACCAAAAAGCACAAGCATTTCCATGGTGCCTGCCTTTCCRGACAGGAGCACATCTACTCCTGGAGCAGCTGGGCTCCCCCTTGTCCTTTAAAAGGCTGTTGAAAATACTGTCATCTCAGGTGTTTCCCAGGGACTGGGGCATAATTGTGTGCCTTCCTTTACGACCAAAATACTGCCTTGGATCTTGGCAGAAATCAGTCCTTAGCTTGATGCAGTTTTAATTGTTCATAGTTTACCTCTGCAGTCCCTTGAGCTCCTAGCAGGGAGCAGCTCGCTGGCTAGATGCCCTCGGTGACATTTTACCTTAGGGCTTGAAATGAAACCCTTGCACACTAAATCCCGGGATTTGTGGAGGCCGCGGGGCCTGTGCTGTAAGTGGTAATGCTTGGAAGTGGTAATAAATAACCATTCAGTGGTCACGTAGATGGCTTTCGRTGTTCAGGTTAACTTTTCAGTGTTGTAAGTGGGTGTGGGCACAGGTTTGCGCTGTCCCGTGTGCWCGGTGAAGGAAGAGCCTTTGCTGCAGTAACTGGCTATGTGCAGCAGCCGCTTTGCGGCCCTGCASCGATGGTCGCTCGTCAGCACGGCTTTCTTGCATGCCAAAGGGAAGAAATGTCTTAGTCAAAAGCACTGGGAAGGAGGGATATTTGCACTCAACAGTGTCAACAAAGGCTGGAACTTCAGGYGTTTAAAAGATGGTAAAACCAAAAACACGGGAAAAAATGCAAGCACAGATCCTTAGGTAGTCTGGAAACTTGCTGATCTTGGACCAGCCTGTTGTCATCAGAGCGCATGGAGCTGTATGTAGGTTTTTTGGGAGACTGACCCTTTCCAAATCCCTTTGTCCTCAGCTTTTCCAAGAGTGTCACCAACGTTAACCACCTGATGCCAAAAGGCAGAAATGGAGTCTCACGTTCCGGGCTTTCTTGGGGCCCTGGCTTTCCCTTTTCCCCATAGGTTTCGCGGGGGCCCTGGCTGCACTCTTAAAGCAGAGTCGCTTCCCTTCCCACGCTGCTGCTTCCAGACTCTCCAGGGGCCTGACCAGCACCATACAAAGCAGCGTATCCATGTGCCGCAGGCACTGGCATTCCCTGCCCAACATCCATAGGAATCCTCACCTGGCTGAGCACCCGCAGCGAAGGCAGGAATTGGCAGTCATTAAACATTAAGCCCTGCTGGGGATATTTGTGGACTTCAGCCTAGACTGAAGTATTTCTGTATGGGAAACCTGTGGTTTAGGAGGGAGGAATGAGCAGTTTTTTGGATGCATGGACTTTCCCTGGAAACCCCATGGATATCTGGAGGGAGCTGCAGGGTCACGGAGCAGCACTGGGCTGCAGTTGCTCAGGGGCACATGAACAGCTAGAGAGCCAGAAATCATCCAAAATAAATTGGGGAGCCCCAAACCCTTAGCCCACGTGGACTGTTTTCAGAAGAGCCCTGACTCTTCCAAAGCTCGAGGACGGGTGAACTGGATCTTGCATTTCCGTCCTCAGAAGCTGCGCGGGGGGGACGGGCCCATGGGATGCACAAATCGCTTTTGTAGGGCAGCTGTATTTAACTCCTGAAAAAAATAAGGACAGAAATTTAGGCCAATTAGTGTGAGCGTTAGCTCAGCAGGTTCACAACTCCCTTATATAACCAAATCTCTAATTACTCTCTGCATATTTCAGGCAGTTTTACAGTACTTTGAAACAGTTTTTCTCTGGCAGAACCCTCGTTTGCTGCTTGCAGGGTGTTGTAGCATTTACCAATGGCCTGTGAGACTCTGTGCCCACCTTGTCGTCAATGAAATATTTGAGTAAATTTTCCCATGTATTTACAGTTGCCTTTGAAATTCTGAGTTACAAATTCAAGGAGCTGCTAGTGTGAGGAAATTGCAGTGAGCTCTTGAATTACATAGATTAAGCATCAAAGATTAGCCGTGTGCTTCACGGGCATGCAGTTTGTTCAGTTTGGAGAGCTGCTTTGGCTAAGGATGTGTTCCACCCTCTGACAGCTGCAACACCCACTTGTTAAATTCAAGGAGGACTTGCTGGTTTGTAAACCCTGCCGTGCGTAACGTGTTAACTCACTTTGTTTGCCCAGGGACTTTGCTTACGTGGCGAGGGACAAAGACACAAGGATTCTGAAATGCCATGTGTTTCGGTGTGACACGCCAGCAAAAGCCATCGCCACCAGTCTGCACGAGATCTGCTCAAAGGCAAGTGCCTTCCAATAAGCTGATTGTTCATTAATCTTCTGCAGGGCCCGGAGCAAAGAGCCCMTAATCAGCAATCTTGCACACTGGTATTTTTGTTTATATCCCTGGCAGTGATAAAYAGGTCGGAGAGTTTGTAAAGGACATAACTGGCATCAACACAAATGGTGGGATGAGTGTTTAAAAGAGAAGCTGGTAGAAGATGGTCATGGGTGGAAYTGATTTGACAAAGGGGCATAGAGGCTTGAGGGCTTTTGTAGTAATAATTTATTATAACTTATTTCAGGTTTCAGAAATGAGCGTTGTAATAGGAATAAATTTATACTTGTAGTTGCTACTGTACTGTGTTTTGGGGAAAAAAAACGCTCTATTGTCACCATCTTCTGCAGATTATGGCTGAGAGGAAGAATGCTAAAGCTATGGCTTGCAGCTCCTTGCAAGACAGAGCAAACGTCACCCTGGATGTTCCCCTGCAAGGTACCGTGTTTCACAGTTAACATTGGAGGGTTGGTCTGGTTTTAGATATATTCCCTTGTGATTTTTTTTTAACYAAAATGGACGATACTGGGTAGAAGAAGCAGGAGCCAGGTCCCATCTTTTAATTACTCTTTCTGACCATGTCTATTTTTGCACTGAATTAAACATTTCTGTGGCTTGACTTCACATAATGCAGTTCTGCTCAGTTAGGTCAGCCTGTGTAGTTTCCTCTTTTAGTTCAAAATACAAGTTTTTGCACACACCACCTAACTCGGTTGGGCCAGCTTGCACGTGCTGCCCTGATAACATCAGAGTACCATAGGACTGGCCAAACCTGCCTCCAAAGCAGAACATGCTCCACTTCGTTAGCTGGATTCAAAGGAGCTGCAGGATTATGGATTTCTACATCCATTTTGGCACCTTTCAAAAGGAGTGGTGCAAGTGTGGCAGCTTCTGTGTCTTGCACGCCCTAGTGCTGGTAAAATAAAGGTGCCTTTATTAGCTGTAGCTCTGTAGTTGCTGTTTTTGAAGTAGTCCAGCAGGACAGACAGGGCTGTGTTGCTTTACAGGAAGATGGGCACTTCAGRTGCCCTGGCCAGTGCTGAGTATCTCACCCCTTGCCCCTGCATCACCTGGGCAATTCTCTGCTCAGACAGTGGTATTGATTTCCTGTAGCCTGTGTATAACGCATTAATTGGGATGGCATTAAGAATAGATTACAAATTTTGCATAGTTATGCAATGAGCTTAGGGCTCTGGGTCTTACAGGCRTATTAAGGAATAGAGAAAACGCCTATGAATATGTTAGCAATAAAACTGCCCTCGATTTTCCTTTAAACGAGGAAMCAGATGACGTCACGTCCTCCCTAATCCCCTGGGGAATCACTTGGCATTCATTGCTCTGCTGTGAGACAAGGGAGCATCCACTTGCTTTAATCCACAGAGTTCCTTTGGAGCACAATTACTCAGTGAATTATTTCAAGCTGTGTTTTCCCTGCTGTGAATAATGATAAGCAGAACCTGATTTTTCATTTCCACTTTCTTTCCCATGCAGTGGACTTCCCAACGCCCAAGACGGAGCTGGTGCAGAGGTTCCACGTGCAGTACCTGGGCATGCTGCCCGTGGCCAGGCCCGTCGGTAGGTGTCCCCGAGTGTCCCCGAGGGCCACCCAAAGGGCAGGGTGGCCCCCTTCGGACCCCCACCAGTCTGAGCATGGGGCAGGCATGAAGACATTCACACAAGGTCTTGCTCCAGCGTGTGTCCTTCCMGCAGAGAACCTGCGGAGCTGCTGGGAAGGCAGAGCTCCCTACTGCTGCTCGCCGAGCGCTGCCTTCCCCTCTGTTGTTACAGATGAAGGAAAGCAACTTCACAGCCCTTCCTTCCATCACCAAATTGGCTTGAATTAGCACTACAAACCAGTGCATTTTCTGTACTACTAAGTGAAGATGAAAGTTTCTCTTAGATTCCCCTAGGTTTCTTACATTTCTGCTTATATTCCTGTATTTATTTGGMTGGTGCCGTTTTCCTCTCTTTTAGGAATGGACACTCTGAACAATGCCATTGAAACCCTGATGACTTCCTCCAGCAAAGAAGCCTGGATGCCAGTTACCATGAATGTTGCTGATGCTACTGTCACAGTCATCAATGAGAGAGTAAGGCAGACTGCCTTGTTCAAAGCAGATTTGAAATTATGGGAATGTTGAATGTGAGGAAAGCAAACAGCAGCAGAAAGAGTTAATTTGTGCTAGAATTCACTTGCTGCTTTTGCATTTTCTTTCTCTCCAGGGCTGTGATTCTCCACACATCACTCTTCTGTAGAAGCTTTTACTGCTTCTCTCAGCTTCAGCTTTATTTACCATTCCAAGCATGTGCTCAGAAATCATTTTAAGCGTTCATTACTATTTTACCCAAATTCAGTGTGATCCTTTCTAGAAGTTTTGAGCCTACAGTGTTGTAGGTTAAACCCTAAGTAGCAATCCTATGTTCTAAACTGTATCTACCTTATTCTGGCTAAAGAAGCAAAGAATAAAGGTTTCCCAGGTGTGTCTTTTACAGGTCCTAAAAAGTCCTAAAGCAGCATCTCCACATGCTGCTGTGTATTGGGGCATCCTAACCATGTATTTCTTTATAGAATTGCAGCATCATTTTTAAATAGTATCTAAAATGCACCATACGCTCAGGGCTAATGCTCAAGGCCCTGGCCTTCTGGTGATACCCTAGGAGGAGAGATCCAGGCAGGAATAATGACTGAGGCAGCTAAATAAAAGAAATTCCCCAGTACTYCATCAGCATTCCTCCCATTTAATCAGCTTAAAGTTGCAGGTGACATTTGGAGAATATCTAACAGTAATGAAAACCCATTTGATTGCATGACCAGAATGAAGAGGAGATCATGGTGGAATGTCGTGTCCGGTTCCTGTCCTTCATGGGAGTAGGCAAGGATGTGCACACGTTTGCCTTCATTATGGACACAGGAAACCAGCATTTTGAGTGCCACGTGTTCTGGTGCGAGCCGAACGCGGGCAACGTGTCAGAGGCTGTGCAGGCTGCTTGCATGGTAAGTGAGCTCGCYCACGGGCGTTTAGTGTCTGTGGCTCTGTTGCTACCTAAGCAAGTAAAAATCTTTTCCAGATTTGCAATTGCATTAATTTCCTGAGACAGATAAAGTAAGAAAAGATAAAACCAGCAAATGGGATTATGATGTAGTTAATAGATTAAAAAATAAGCATGTTTAAGTTCAAAATGTCCATTTAGAGAGCAGTGTTCCTTTAACGGCCTTACCCCTTTACCACTACAGCACCTGTACATGTCAGGGGTTTGTTATTCAAGTTATGCTGGGAAAACGCTTTGCTCAGGGTCATGTTAGACAYCCCAGTGGCCACGCAGCCCCTGCTCAAGAAGGGCTGAATCCCAGAAACTTCTCTTTCCRTTTTCAAAGGGTTGTCCCCACCTCAGTGACCACCTCAGTGGTCCACCTCCTACCTCAGTGACCACCTCCACGGGTGTCACTGAAGGGCTTCTGCCCATGTTAACAGGACAGAGGCCCCTTAATTCCAGTAGGGCTGTTTCTCATCGAGAAACGGAGAAATACATTCCCWGTGTTCCACACAACGCGTTACAGGGTGTGTGGCATGCCCCGAGGGGCCTGCGGGACGCGCGGCCGGCCTGCAGGCTGCCTTTGCTCTCTTGCAGCTGCGGTATCAGAAGTGCTTGGTGGCCAGGCCCCCTTCGCAGAAGGTGCGGCCCCCGCCGCCTCCCGCAGACTCGGTGACCCGGCGAGTCACCACCAACGTGAAGAGAGGAGTGTTGTCCCTCATTGACACTTTGAAACAGAAGCGCCCCGTCTCCGAGCTGCCGTAGAGAAGAGGCTGGGCACGCTGAGCTGAAGGTAACAGTAGCTACACTAAGGAAAATGAACTGACCGTGTTCGGCCTCCCATCCTRCATTGCAATGCTTTGTCTGCGGAGAATTTACCTATATCGAAACTATGTTAGACGAGCATGTTCTCTCATTCTTGCCACCGTCGTATGATATGAAAAGAAGCATGAGTCATTTTTTTGCTGTCAGTGAGTGACATCATGAGCAACGGAGGGTCCTTTTCTGATTGTAAATACGTGAACATTACCTACACCCACACACGGCAAGGACGTGGCCAGCTCCCTCCGAGTGAACTCATGCTCAAGTCCTTGGAGTGAATGATGCCGAGTTGATGGTTTTCCCTGTCTTGAGCTGGATTTGTCACAAATCGACCTGAAATTCTACAGCACTTCTGCTCTGTTTTCAACACTGGGGTAGTTCCCAAGTATTAGTTACAATTGAATTACTTTGCAAACCCTTTTTTTGGTGGGTTTTTTTTTTTTTCCCCTCTTTGAGGAAATTCCACCTGTCAGTTGCAAAATGTTTGTGAGCATCCCCCTGGCAATGGCTTTCCAGCTCTCCCTGACGGGCGGCGGGACCACGGTGTCCTTTCATCTCCTGTTACTGCATTAGCAGAGAGGAATCGTGTCTAAAACCCAGCCAGTGCTGAAGAACCCACCCGYGTTTGGAGCAGCTCAGACTGGGGCCTTGGCCGAAGCCTTTCACCTTGGACCGCACACACGTACGTACGGACTGCGATTCTCCCAAGTTTTATTACAGCATCGGATCAGAAGGACAAGCCAGGCAGTGGTTTTACTGTGACAAAGCTCTTAGAGGCTCGACCTTTGCATTCTTCTCCCTTCGAGTGTTTGATCAAATGTGGGACTCGGCGTCTGTTTGCACAGTTCCCCCTTCCCCGCGGAGTTTGTTGCTGACTACGTAACCGTGCTGCAGACAGAACAACCAGGGCTTGTTATTTACAGAATTCCCCGCAACTTTAACGCTTTGTGATAAAATAAGGAAAGTTTCCTAAGGGAATAGGGTGCTTCAGGTGTTGCAACCTGGTTGCAAAGCTTTGGCTCCAAAGGCTTCACACAGTTGCTCTGATCCACACGGCGGCAGATCCTGATGACACCAGCACAGGGTTGCCCCCAAAACTACCTGGCCCTGAAGTCTCAAACRCAGCTTTAGGTTCTCCCCTTACCACCCTCTGCGTAGATCTGCTGTTTCGTACTGATTGTGAAAAGGGAACAGGAGAAATGTTCTTAAGTAGTGTTGAAAAATGTGGTGCCTCCACTTAGAGATGTTTTCCAAACTGTGAGGGTGACAGAGCCCTGGAACAGGCTGCCCAGAGAGGTTGTGGAGTCTCCTTCTTTGGAGATCTTTAAAACCCACCTGGATGCMGCCCTGTGCCMCGTGCTCTGGGTGACCCTGCGTGAGCAGSGGGGTTGGACTCGATGACCTCTGAGGTCCCTTCCAACCTTGGGCATTCTGGGATTCTGTGATTCAAAGCATAACCATCAAGTCGGCAAACTTGGTAATACRGTAGTTTTAAAAGAACATTCTCAAGGCTGCTACGGCAAGATTTTTTTTCTACTTTAATATGCAAGGGATTGTTAGACTATTTTCTCTCTTGGCTTATTAAATAAAAAGATCAATAGCCACCCCTGGGCGAGGCAAGTTAGGAGTAAAGGAGAAAGGGATGATGATTCCAGAAATTTCCACATTGAAAAGGTAGGAAAATTATTCAAATAAATCGCAGCTGGTGTCTGAGCAGGCGGCAGGCAGGCAATGCAAGTCCTGCAGTTACAATGAGCTCCCAGTGAGACCCTGTGGAGAGCAGAGCTCCGACAGGWAGGCAGCTTCCCAACCAGCCCGTTCCTCCGGTCCTCTCCGTGCTCCCGGCGSAGTCTGCGGGAGCAGTGTTCAAGTTGTTTCCCGTCACACCGGCTGCCCAAAGTCGTGAGCAGGTGACTGAATACGTGTTCAGGTAGGATCATGACACCACTAAGATATAAAATCCCRTGATTAAGATATAAAATCCTGTGATGCTTCTGTTGAGTCAAACTCGGACTGAAACTCGCAGCGTCTTCGCTGGCTCTGTCCTGTTCAAGCTGCAGCTCAACTCCGGGCCTGGCGTTGGCAGCGGGCCGGGGCAGCGCGGGCCCCGCTGCAGCAGTGCTGCTCTCAGAGCGGGCAACGCAGGCCCTGTATTCAAACCAGAGGAACAAAACAGGAGTGAAACACCCCTCTCCGTGGGTGCCGCGTGGGCGCTCGGCAGGGGCGCGCAGTGCAGGGAAGGGCTGAGCAGACACGAGGGGGTCTGCAGGAAGCCGTGGGGCGCTTGCCAGTGTGTGCYGAGACCCGTGTCTGCTCCAAACGCTGCTGATTCCGCCGGTGTTGAGCAGTGCTCGTGACAGCCGGAATACGGGGGCCCTTCCGCTTTGCCAGGACTTGCTCCTCATTCTCCAGAAGTCAAACGCAGGCGCAGAGCACTCGGGCAGACCCCGAGCGCCGCCTGCAAAGCCCTGTCGTTGCCCCCCGCTCCGTGACCACGGCCACGAGGTGTGTGTGTCCCGGCCACGGCCGGCGGCTAGTGGACCTTGTAGTGACCCTTCAGTTATCTATGCATTTTTTTATAATATGTAGTGATTCTGTAGGCAGCCAGCCACCTTCACCCTGCCTCGTATGTCTGATGTCATATTTTAAATTAACCTGTTAAATACGGCTTAAAATATTTTTATTTTATTTATTCTATTTTTACTGAAATATCCTGCGTTATCATGTTGATGTATTTGTCTCCTCTGGACAGGATCTTGCAACAGTCTCCACTCTGTGTACTATAGGTTGCCTAAAAAAAGAAAAAGAAAAAAAAAAGTGGGCTTTGTAATTATTTGTAGTCTCATTTTTATTGAAGTCTGTAGAAARATCATGTAAAGCTAATTTCTTATTTTTTTTCAATGCAGGTAGTAAGTTAGAGGTAAGACTCACCTGTCAGTCATTTGGTTAACAGTGTCCCTTGCCGAGGCGGGGAGATGGCCAGCTGCAGTGGATGAGGATGAGGATGAGGATGGTGACTCGAGCTAGAGCCTCTTTGGCAATGTGCAGCGCTGGCTGCAGGTTCCTTTGAGCCACTTCCAACTATTCCAGTTGAAAGTGGGAATGGGGGTGTGGGAGGCGTGAGGCTGAACAGGCCGCCTGCAGGCTGGGCAAAGAGAGTATCAGAGCCCGCACGGAAGGGCTGGATTCTGCTGGCAATAAAATGGCTTTTCAGTGGGGAACGCTGCGTGCGGAGGCGCCCGCGGCCACCCCGCGCACAGGACACAGCAGGGAGGGCCGGGGTAGCTCCTGGCTTCTGCCGCTCTCTTGCATCCCTTTGTTTTAATGTTGCCACCTGTTTCTAGAGCCTCAACTAAATGACCTGTGAATTGCTAGTGAATCCCCGGTGGAAAACAGACCTAGGCCCATTTCCACAGCTCAGAGGCGCTCAGCCCTTACAGCGCTGCCGTTAAGGCCGTGACTTCTGTCTTGGACAAGTTATTCCCTGACCCGCACGCAGCTCCAGCCCGTGCTGCAGGGTCAGCCCCAGGGAGCAAGCAGGAGCAGCAGCCTGCCCAGCAGCAGAGCTCCGTGTCGCGGAAGCACCGCCCGGCCCTGCAAAGGACAATTTCCCTGCTGTTGACCCCTTCTACACACTTACATGTAACCTGTTCCGAGAATAAATTAAGCTGCATAAAATGATTGTCTCAATGGTTACTGCTCCATGAAACGGGGAATTTTTGTCTTTTGTCATTTAAAAATGTGCTTCAGGGGAGGGGAACATCATAGTGGTGGTTTGAATCCCGTACCGGCATAAATGGACACTTCTGTACCTGGAAAGCTGAATTAACAGTTGTCAAAAAATACAAATCCATAACTATAAACACAAAATTGTTGATGTGAGCTACAGTTTTTATTGTATTAAAGTCATAGTTAAAAAATGTTATTGAGCACACAGGCATCTAGCTGCAGCCACCACAAGCGAGTCCCAGATGCTGCCGCTCTGTCCCTCGCTGCTGGCCAAGCCGGGGACCTGCAGCATCACAAGGTGCCCCCGGCAGCTCTGTGATCCTCTTGCTTAGGTGTTGGCCAGTGAGTGGTTTGACCTCCGCGACAGCTCAAAGACTGGAACTCCTGCAACCAGCTGTGGGGCATCGTGATGTGCACTGCCCAAGTAGCCAGCACTTCAGGCAGCAGACACACGTATCCTCATGTAGAAGTCATTCTCRTTACTTCTGCTGCTGGCTTTGATAAGTATTTTAAAAACTCTAACCTCAGAAACTCCATATTTCTTCTAAGCATTAAAAATAATCTCACAGTCATACTTTCAGTTCCTTGTTTCTAACGTGCAAATTCTCTTCTCCTCCCAAGATGGTTTTGAAACAAAATCCTCTTTTTCAGGTCTGTGCACTGCAGCACACACCTCTAGACTATATATCCTTACCCTTTGTTTGTATTTATGTGATGCTCTAGAGGCGGCCACCCAAGCTGATGGTTTACTGTCCTTCACATCGTCTAAAGGTTGTGCTGGTGAAGTTGCATTGACTCGGGTGGACGGGGGAAAGGTATAAAATGTTTTCTGTGGGTGTCAAACAGATTTTCTGTGTTGCTGATACTGGGCGTGTTGCTTAGAGGCCGAGCGCACGAGTGTCTTAATGATTCGTCAGAAGGAAACTGTGGGCCCCGGCTGCCCTTGCCCGTCCTCTCCTGCTCWGGTGTCGCTGCTTCATTTCTGTAACCCTTTTAAAGGCATTCTGGCATCTTTGATATTTTCCTTTTTTTTTAATTTGCCCCTTTTAGTCAGATCCTTGCTAAAATTACCTGTGTCCCTTCTATCCTGTGCTCCATTTTTAAGACAAATGTGGCTAGTCAAGATGTAGATACGTTATCTTTGCTAGAAAGAGGGAAGAGGTGAGAAGGCCACAGCTGTTTCCAAAGAAGGACAAACTG